CAGGGGAGGGCACGGGGGGGACAGGGGAGGGCACGGGGGGACACGGGAGGGCACGGGGGGACAGGGGAGCAGGGAGCGGGCACCACGGCCAGCGCCTTCCCCTGTGACACCGAGTTCCTCTGCCCCATAAACACACAGATCCCTGCCCTATATCCCCCCAGATTCCTGCCCCATAAACACACAGATTTCTGCCCTACATCCTAACAGATTCCTGCCCTATATCCCCCCAGATTCCTGACCCATAAACACACAGATTTCTGCCCTATAAACCCACAGATCCCTGCCCTATATCCCCCCATATTCCTGCCCCATAAACACACAGATCCCTGCCCCATAAACACACAGATTTCTGCCCTATATCCCCACAGACTCCTGCCCTATAACCTCACACATCCCTGCCCCACTGCACCTCATATCCCTGCCCTATGTCCTCCTCATACCCCACTCACTGCCCCCCACATCCCCTCCTTATTGCTCCCCACATCCCTGCCCCATTGCCCCCCACATCCCCCTATCATCGCCCCCCACATCCGGGGGGCGTGGCCGGGGGTGGGGCGGGGTCATTCGGGGCCGTGTGGGCGGGGACGCGTGGCGTGATGAACTTTGCTAATTAAAGGGCGCTCGCTGTCGGGGTTTTTTGTTAAATGTGCCGGCGGATTAACGCAGAGTTCAGCGATAAACTCCACAGGTAGCAGCGCCGGTTGTGCTCTCGGACCGCACAGCCACGAAATGAGGTTTCCGATTGCGTGAAAAGTACTATTAGGACCGAAAATGAACTTTCCTCAGGCGATTTTGGGGCCACTTCGAGGGTTTGGAGGCTTTCTGGGGGGAAAAATGTAGGGAAACCTGAGAGAGAGAAGAGAAAGGAAAAAAACGAAGAGAAAGCGGAGGAAATAATTTCACAGAAAGGGGACAGAAGGATGAGGGGATAAAAACGGGGAAATTGGGAAAATCCTGAGGCAAAAACGCGGGAAAAGGCGCTCTGGAGGTGGGGCCTACCTGCACGGCGTTGCCCTTTTAAGAAGGGGCGGGGCCTCCAGCCCCGCCCCCAGCCGGGCTGGCCCCGCCCCACCGGGCCCGGGCGCGGCCGCAGCCCCGGAGCCGCCGGAACCCCCCGAGAACTCCCGAGAAGCCCTCGGGAATCTCCGGAACCCCTCGGGAATCTCCGGAACCCCCGGGCCGAGGGGATGCGGCACCGCGGGGCCGGTGAGCGGACTCGGGGGGGGGGTTTGGG